CCTTTGGTTTTAAAGAATGGACCCCGGGGCCCTTTTGAAAAAAAAGGGGCCAATTTCCCAAGGACAGCATAATCCCCTTTTCCATTCCGGGGGCCCCCCCCCCCCCCCCGACACAGGGAGAACCGGTTAGGAGGATGGACAGAAAGACGCACGAAGCTTCTTAATACATGTGTTCAGAGTGTGTGCAACAGAAGAGGGCAAAACATCACTGTCACAGCAGTTGCACCACAAACCCCTCCATACACACCTTGTAGTTGTTGATGTACTCCGAGTCATTCCGGGCGTCCCAGTTCACCTTAGACATCGGCACCTGTTTGAAGAAGGTTGCATTCACCATTCACGGCGCCGAGCGATCATTTTCAACGCGTGCTGAAAACACATGCTTCACAAAATACATCGATAACACAGCTGTACGCACAGAGTTGAACCACAGGGAGATTATCATCACCAGGATTAAGCCATGGAGCCGAAAATCTAGAGCATGTACGCGAGCATCTTCACCTGACTATCTACCATCACTGCTAGACCAACACCCACACGACAGTATGAAGCAAAACCACCTCCACCACCAACGACAGCAACAACGGCATCGCGTCAGCATGCGCCTTGCACACACCTTGCCGGGAAAGAGGCTGTCGACCAGCTGGCACGCCACCGCTCCCGAGCAGGTTTCCTCCACCTGGTGAGGGCATTGGGAGGAAGGAGCAAGTCAACCAACAACACAGCAGTGAACAAGAAAAACTAACAAAGAGTCAAGGGAGCTACGACCGACAGAATCAGCGGCCACATGCACAAGGGAATGGTGATCATCGTCTGTGCAAAACAACCAAGATGCGTGTTACGGTAACCAAAAGCGCAGTACTTTAGTCAACAAGAAAAGAAAAGTCAAGGGAGCTACGACCGTCATCATCTTGCATTTTGGATCAGCAGCCACATGCAGAAGGGAACGATTATCATCGCCTGTGCTTGTACCGGACAATGATGGTGTGTTTTACGCCACAACCAACAACACAGCAGCGAACAAGAAGAAAAAAAAAAGCAAGGGAGCAACGGCAGCTATCATCTTGAATTGAATCAGCAGCCACATACAGAGGGGGAACGACCCTTTTCATCATCGTCTGTGCTTGTACGTTCTACGGCAAGCGGGGGCACAGAAGTGCCCGTGGATGCGTCTCCGTCAGCCAAACGGAGGACACACCGAAGAGGGGACGCATCTGTACCGCTGATTTTCCGCGGGATTAAAAACATTTAGGTGGGAAAAGTTCAGTAGTTGTCCTTTCCAAGCTTCCATGGCAGTGCTTTCTTACCACTTGCCCTCTCCTGTTGTAATACACCGCCACAGCATTTACGAACACGATCCAAACATGTACCACGTGAGACAACAACAACGGCGGTGGCGCCGACGAACATCAGCCGGTCCGCTGCGGAGACCCAGGCAAGGCGAACAAGGCAGGCACTTGAAGGCAGCAGTCGAAGCAGGTTTTTCTAAGTCGGCAAAATTATTGGAAAAAGTATAGAATTGGCCAAGTTAAAAGGGGTAGGGTCTGCGTGCCCCCCTCCCTCAAATTTTTCGTAATAACCTTACATTTTGCGTGGACAGTCCCCGGTAGGTCACTTGACGTGCCTTCTCGCGGGTTATCCTCCGTCCCCCCCCCCCCCGCCCAAGCTTCTGGTTCATCCTTGCGGAACGTAGCCTGGGCCGGCGCAAACCCGGCACATCGTTCCGTCCCGGCATTGTAGGGATGCGAGGTCTAGCGGCTACGGCATGCGTGTACATGAGTACACCGTGCGCGTGAAAGAAAAAAAAAAACACAACACCACCGCAAAACCTTCATAATGAAAAATCCCGCGAATAACACTTCGCGTGAACGACGGGCCAGCGTCATCTATTGCTTACCTTGGAGAGGTTGAGGCTGAGGTAGCTGTTCAGCCAATCCAGGATTTCCTTCCGACCTGTGATTTATTTTGGCACATGCGAGACCGGGCAGAAAAAACAACAACACACACACAGAGGCTGGGAATGTTTTTTCCTTTGAGAGGAGCGTCGAGGCACGCATGTGCCCTTGCGAAACGTCCAAAGCTTTCGGAAACAAATTATCCGACAAGACAGAACAAAGTGTATTCATATTTTCGGCGGTTTTCGTAGGTTGCGCAAGAAACCACACACGCACCGTGGACCGATTTTTCAACACAGAGGAGCTCCCTGTTTAGTTCCGTTATGTGCCCAGAAACTTCACCGGCACAATACCGTACCGGCACTATTTCAAAGTACTGACAGTGACTCGGAAATTCAGTGTGTGCCCACCGAAAACACTAAACCGGCACTACGCCGGGCGCTGGCTCTATTTAACCGGCACTAAACAGGGATCCCCTCAGCAGCAAAAAGCAGAGTAACGGTGCCGAAATGGGCGGCCTTGGGGGGCAGTCTGGTCGAGAGCTTTCCGAAAACGCATCATTTGATATTGGCACCCTCTTCGTCGTGGAGTGACAGGGCTTTCATATTCGGCCCAGGGTGTGTGATATCTTACGTCATGCAACCTACGGTAAGGTACTGGCAGCGACGGCCCTGGCTACTTGCCCAAAGATAAAGAACTCACCCGGGCTGAAAACCGATAGGAAACGGCCGGTAACAGCCAGGTTGTCGGTGCCAACAGAGCGCACTGAACGCTCGCAACATAGGCAGGCGGGTTCCGCACCACTTTTTGGTTCTCGAGCCGTTTCGTGGGCGGGCGTTCTACCTAACATGCTTAGCGATATCTGCCGGCGCCCGTAGAATGTCTTGATCCGCTGCTGGACCTTACCGAAAACAGCACGACCATGGCTAGATAAAGAGGTGCGGTCCTACTTGCCAGCGAAAACGCAAGAGCCAATGAGAGGGCTTGGGGGGTGCAGCGGCACAAGTCTGTGGCGACAAGGACGCTAACGCTGTGGCCCGAAGAAGCCGCGTTGGTGAGGAGTTTTGAGCGCGTACTATTTAAGTTTGTATTCCGGACATTCCCGCACACCGCAAGGGGGGATACCTACCATGTCGGTCGCCCCCCCCCCCCCCCCCCCCCCCCCCCCCCAAAAACGAAGGGAAAAAAAGGAAAAAAAAAGTTTTAAAAAAAAATGAATGCCGGAAACACCCAAAAATTAAAAACCCTTCCAATTAATGGGAAAGGAAAAAAAAAAAATCCTTTTTAATTTTAAAAAAAAAAAAAAAAACCCCCCCAAAAATGGGCTTTTAAAAAAATTTTTTTTTTTAAACCCAAAAAAAAAAAAACTTCTTTAACCAGGTAAAGCGGGCGAAATTAAAAAAAAAAAAAAAAAAAATATTTTTTTTTTTTCCCGAAAAAAACACAAACCTCCCCATAACCCCCCCCCAAAAGGCCAAGAACGGGGCCCGCAATTTTTTTT